CAGTGAAATAAAGTATTTTATTCTCTTCTTGTCCTAGGACAATGTCTTTTGTCCAGAAACTGTATTCTAACATAGTATCAGTATAGAATAATTTCATAGTTTTTTAAACTATTCAGGTTGTATTCATAGCACCATTAATGTGGTAGTTAACTGTATTTTTATGTTGTCAGCCCATTATTTTATTTAAATAATTTGCCTCGGCTTTATAGTTCTTCCTTCTTGGCACAGAGTCTTGTTTTGATTAATGGAAAGGTTCTGGTCCATTGCAGTTTTCCCTGCTTCAAACAGTAGAAAACTGACCTCATAGTTGGAATACTTCCTGAGCATGGACTATGTATCAGAAATAGTGATAGTCAGCTTTATTTGGATTTTAGCCTAGTAGTTTCTCACTTTCTATAGTTACAACAAATAAAAGAAACTCACTTGTTTAACTGCAAAATTTTATAAAATAGAGAATTACATGGCCACTTACAGTCTACTTCCTATAATACTTGAATACGCATTCTGTAAAAGGAGCAGTATATTCTGTAAAAAGTGATTTCAGTGCTATTATTACATTTTGACATTCTTTGGCACAAACCCTCCTTTTTTAGTTGATACATTCACTTACTTGGGTAGAATGTACCCTGTTTTAATGTTTTCTATGTATCTTAACATTAAAGGAAATTCTGTTATATAATTTTTATGCAATTTTTGTTGATCGTCTGTATCCCTCTTTACATTTCAAGCTCTATTAGGACAAAAATTATGCCTTGTTTAGTATTCAAATATCAATACTTGGTCAGCTATCTGACGTGTCGTATATGACCAATGACTATTGTTGAATGAATGAATGAGTGAAGGAAATGGTAAATATAGAAGGACCAAATAAATGCCCCATCTTATATATTACAGTCCTAGAAGAAATTGATTCATCTTATGCTTTAAGAAATAAAGATAGCTTTTGCATTTATTTTTCATTTTAGAAACTTTTTAAAAATTAAGTGATGTCTTTGTGTGTTCAACCATAGCAAATGTGGCTTCCAGTAATTCAGTGATTCCTTCAATTATTGGCTTTCCTGATGACATATCCTTTAACTCAGCCAGCTTAGGCTAAAATTAAGTCATACATAATTCCTTAGTTTGCAAGAAAACAATTTTATCTCTTGGGAGTGAATTCTGAAGATTTTGGTTTCATTAAAAAGGAAACAATTCTTTTTTTATTTTTCCTCTGCTTGTTTCTTCCTTATTAAATCTCTGCTAAACCAATACATAATTTAAACTTTCAAGCAAATTAGCAAAAGTGTAGTAATGAGAATTAATGTTTCTGGAGTACTTATTATGGCCCACGTACTGGTCAATTGTTAACTTCTGTTATTCTATGAAGTTATTTTATCCCTATTTTGCAGATGAAGCAATTGAGGTTTTCAAAAGTTAAGTAATTTGCAGGAGCTAATCCATCCGCCACGTGGCAGAATGAAGACTCCATCTTCCCGGCCTACTCCACCCCACTAGGGGTGATGTATCAAGGTCTGGATAGCATGATCCTGGTCTCCTTGTTAGTTCTCAGTTTGTGAAATGAAATTGGTTTAAATAGTTGAATTTCTCAGAAACAGATTCCCACAAATTTAAATCTTTCCTTCCTAGGACTGAGTTTACTAGCATTTTGCTCATCAGGTGGTGGTGTCTATTTGAAAGAGCCTTGCTTCCCACTCTGCATGTGACTCTCATCCCTGTCAATCACATCGTCATTATAATCTTGAAATGAAATCATTTTAGCCTCAATGTTTGTCAAAATAAAAGTTGTGGGGAATAATTTTATCAGCTATTAGTACAAAACAACAAGAACCACCTTCATCTTATACACAGAAGTTTATAATCACGCTATAAATATGCCCTATCCAACATGCATGTGGCTGTGGGCCCTCTTACTGGAACAGAACTCTTGGCTTTTAGTACCATGTAAACAACACTGACAAGATGACCTCAGGACAAGTTACTTCACAGTGTGAAGAGTAGACTTTGGGGTCACATGATCTGACTTCAAAAGCAAGCTTCCTTACTTTGTGTCCTTGGGCATTTCTTAAAACCTCTAGTCTCTGTTTTGTCATCACTAAAGTCAAGAAAATAATGTAAAATTGATATGAGAGTCATAAGTGATGTATGTAAAGAGCTTAGCTATTTTTAAATTATGCTCATAAACTCGAATTGCATAATCTTTCAAAGTTATTTTCTTTTTTTAAAACAGAATTGGAACTTCACCCTTGAATATGCAAAGCAGGAATTGCTATGTGAAATATCAGCAACAAATTTTCTAAGGTGAGCTGCTCTTTCATTAGACTACTTGGTTATTAAGAACTCAATGCCCTCACTTTGTAGATGGCATTTCTATTGATAGTGAAGTCTTTAATTTTGAGTCATATAAGAATTCAGTTCCTAACTAGGACCTGTTTCAGGTCATATAAAAATAATGACAATATAAATATGATACATAAGTATTTTTAAAGTTTAGTCAAAAGGTTTCAATGAGACACTTCAGGAAAGTAAAATCTGTGGTTAATGCTCTCGATTGGTCCTACAAGCCAGAAAGAGGGAAAGGGGAGCCTTTATTTTTCACTTCATCTTTACTGTCTAATTTTTTCCTACAACAGTTTAGTGTTGTATAATAATAAAACATCTAGTTTCTATACACGTTTGCCATCGGAGCCCTTTATTTGAGGCTCCACATATAAACATTGCAGAAACATGGAATCAAGAAATCCCCATGCTGAGCTGTTGAGCCAGACAGCCTGTCATTTCATATGCAGCACTGACTTTTCCAGGCTGTTGATTTCATTTATGAAATGTAAATTGCTGACGGGCCTGGGGAGGGGAGCTTCATTAATGATTTTTCAATGTCATCAACAGTGTTTTCAAGTAGAGCAGGCAGACCAAAACTTGAGCATGCAAGTGCTTGTCAGGAAAGGGTTTAAGCAGAGACCAACTCTGTTTAGGAGTCTCTGTTTTGTCTTCATAAAACAAAAAGAAAGAAATTCACTCAATATGTAAGTCCTAAGAATCGGCACTCTAAAAAGAATTTGAAATATTTTGCAAGGTAGAAGCTGAGTATCATTGAATTTTTTTATCACTTTATTTTGTTATCATTATCACATTTGTTTCCTAAACATGTAGGGACCTTATATTTGTAATAAAACATCATAATTATTATTTTTTGCAACAATGAAATTTTGCAATTTTCACATGGTAGTCACTAAGCAAAATGTATTATGTGCATTATCTATATTTTATTTATATAATATTAAATGTTCATTTATTTGTTATCTCTCAAACCCCAGTAGCATATAAACTTCATGAGTCCTGGAATGGATTTTTATTTTCTTTTCTATACACTAGTGCTTAGTGTTTTGCACAGAATAGGGTTCAATAAATATTTGTGGAAAAAAAAGACAAATTACCTTATATAATCCTCATATACCACTCCTATGAGGTAAATATTATTATTAGACGCACTTTACAGATACTGAGGCTTAATAATTTGTCTAAGCACATACTCTCTGGAAAGCGGTACAACTGGGATTTAAATCCTGATGTTTTTCCAATTCCAAAGCTCTAAGCACTTAAGCACTGGAACTATTTTGCTACAGCTAGAAATAAAAGCTTTTAAGCATTTCATACATAAACACTATACAGCAAACCATGTTATATATCTCATAGGTATGTTTACCTAGGTTATATTACCTAGACAAATTGCTAACAGTGATTAAGACTGTAATTAGCATGTATAATATAGTCATGGAGGTTTCTATTTTTTTAAGCCAGTCATTAAATCATGAATCATATGAATTCGTTTCTTAAATTGAGCTGGTAAAGCTAAATAAATAGACTGAGCATTGATAAAAAATTGATAATTATCTTTCACACTCTTGGAGTAGTATTCAATATTTAATGACATGGAAGATTTTACATTTAAAACCAGGTCACAAATCTTATTCCTGTAAAATATGCAAAGAAACATTAGCAGTGTTAGCCTAGTGAATTTTAGTAGTATGAGGGAGTCTGAAAAGCATGGTGGCTAAGGACACAGATCTAAAGTCAGACTGCCAGAAGTGAGTTCTGGATCTACCTCAGGCAATTGTGTGACCTGGGCAAGGCACTGTCAGTTCTTCAATTTTCACATTAATAAAAACAAGATTGCTGTGAAAATTAGATCAAACAGTACACATGATGTGCTTAGAACAGTGCCAGGTGCAAAGCAAA